TATATATATATTATCATTTTGAGTTTTCCATTGTTGATGATGGGATTCAATATTAAGCTTCTAATTCTGTCGACAAATTAATATTATGGTAATGATTAGTATATTTGGTTTAGGAAGTAATTTAGGAAGTAATTTTGTGCTTTTCACGTTCTTTTCATTTTTTTCATTTATATTCCTTTGTGCAGTAACAAGGTACTAATGTTGGTTTATCTGTTGGGTACTTACATTGTGAATTGAATTTTTTTTATTTTCTTGGAAGTTCATCTAACCCTACCCCATCATATATATACACAAATAAACGTACACTTTTTTTTCTTAGATCAATTATATGTGAATTAAATCGATTGAATGACCATTTTTTACCCAATGACTCTCTGTTTTCTTGGAACCTTTTTCTCTCTCTCTTTTTTTTTTGTTTTGTTTTGATCCAAACTGATTTAATACCAGCTTTTGGTTCACCAAGATACAGTCCCCAAATTGCTAACTTTGTGAGTGGCATTCATAGACATAGTTGGAGAGCCATTTTTACAAGCCTATTCATTAACCTGTTCCTTATGTTAATGTAGACTGTAAGTTTATTGATTAAAAAGAACAAAAAAAAAATCTTAAGATTTAGACCCTGTTCAACATTTTGCCTCAAATATTTCCTGGTAGATTGGCTAGAATAAAAAGAAGAATAATACCAGCCAGATAGTTTACTGAACTGAATAGCTTGAAGAGGTTTGAATCTGTTTAAGATTATGCGTGTGAAATCCAATGAGCCTGGTAACAGATTTATTTATAGGAGGACAGGGGCGATGTGAATATACCCCTAGATATTTGTTTGATCATAGGATGCATGGGCTGCGATTACGATTTATCTTCATTTGTTACCTTCGTGGACCATATACTGGTATGAAGGTCCATGTGACCTGGAATTTGGATAGTTAAATGGGATTCATGGTTTTGTGAGTTAAATACAATTTCTGGTATTTCTTTTGTGATGGGGCCTAGTCGAGTTGAAATTTGGGGAAACATTTCCTTTCATATTTATAGGTTTCTTGCAGAAAGTACCATCTTTGAAATGGATATGTATTATTAGAAACTCTTTGTCAGGTTGCGTACATGCACTCAAACCTACACTTATCATGAGGTTTATGCATTTTTCCTAAGTCTTATGTGGTGTCTCCCGTTTGTTGAATGACAGGATTGTGGGATAATTTGTTATAATTTGTAAGCACATTTGGGTTGAGGTCATTGTGCAAATGTTCAGCCGAAGAGTATAAATGCATAAAATTGTTGGGGATGATAAGGTATTGTTGGACCTCTCCACATCCTTTCGTCTTGAGTGTAGCAGTATCTCTTATTTTTTCTAGCTTTTTGCTATTTGAAATGCCTCAGTGGGTGCTTTAAATGGCAGTTTTCAGGAAGCTTGCACCTGATGGGTTGCACACATAACACAAGTGATAAGAAGACTTTGAAGAGGTGGTTTTTCATTGATAAAAGGGTTGGGTAAACAGTTTGAAGGAGCTTTTTTGTGTGATATTGGTTTGTGCTTGTTATCTTGGTCCAGTTATCAGCAGAAGGAATATATCTTGTACATAAGAGTTTAATTCTTAACATTAAGATAAAAGAGTGTTGATTCGATGGACTTCAAGTCTAATCATTCCTCCCCAGTGCTCACCGATCCAGTACCTTTAAACAAGGCGAGATTAGGTATTGCCGCAAGTTTGCTGCCATATTCGCCCTCCCAAACTGGTTTCTCTTCCGGCCTGCACTGGACATGTGCCAGGAAGAAATTCATTCTCAGCAAACTTGATGATGCTCGTGCAAGTGGATGGCTGGATGCTATGAGATCCTCTTCACCACCTCGCAAGAGATTTGTCAAAGATGTCACCAGTGTGGAAGTTATGGACCCGGAAGCAAAGGATGCTTGCTATCAATCATGGACTGTAAGTGAATCTCTCCTATTTATACCGGTTTGCATTGTTCTAATCATGCAAATAAGAAGCTTATGTGCTTTAGTGTACCCTTATTCTGTCTTGGCAGCTAAAGTATCCATCGGCTCTGAGCGTATTTGAACAAATAGTAGGTTCTGCCAAAGGAAAACAACTGGCACTGTTTTTAGACTATGATGGGACTCTTTCGCCAATTGTGGATGATCCTGATCGTGCTTTTATGTCTAACACGGTAAGATTGGTTTATTTACCAGGAATGTTAAGATGTGGTGTGGCTGTTTTGGAAGTTGAATATTTTATCATGTTAAAGCCAGCCATTTTTAGAAGTGGATCTTTTTTTTTGGGGCTTTTTTTCATTTTGGTTGTTTTGGTGGGGGTGGGGTGGAGACCAGAAGCGTTTTCTTCTCGTGTTTGACATGAAGATGCTAACTTCATTGATACCAGTGTTATACTAGGAATTCATTATGTGCTTATGAAATTTATGCTAGATTCTAAAAACTGGGAATGTGATTTTATCTTTTTTTGTTTTTATTAAAAAAAAATTGATCCTTGCTATTCTGCTATCAGATGCGCGCTGCTGTTAGAGATGTTGCAGAACTTTTTCCAACAGCAATAATTAGTGGAAGATGCCGTGACCAGGTAACATGAAATATGAACTTACAGCTTCCCATGGTGATTTCTGCACATTCATTAGTTGATGGTTTGGTCCATCTAACATTTACAATCTCTTTTCAGGTGTTTGACTTTGTTGGATTAACTGAACTCTATTATGCTGGGAGTCATGGAATGGATATATTGGGACCAGTGAAGCATTCGAAGTCTCCCTCCCTTGTAGAGGAGTCACTTCCAAACTGCATTAGAACTACAGACAAGCAGGTGAGTGGAATGAGTAGGATGGGGTGCTATGGCATCCTGAATTGGTGTACATTGCATAATAGCTAATATGCACATGATTGAAAATTGGAGTAAATCAACTTAAGAGTGGCATGCCAGTGTTCTCAAAATCAAATCGGAACGGTTAACCGGACATGGGCCTAGAAGCGATTTACCGGCCTAACCGGTAAACTAGCCAATTCAACCAATCTACAAGTCCCGTACGATCAAAAAAGTGTTAATAAAATAAAAAAGATACAAAAACAAATTCTATTAAAATATGAAAAGTATATAAAGAATGTGATTAAAACAAAACACACTCAAATGAACTTGAAAATTAATGAAAAAAATGGATTTTAACTAATCGATTTGTGCCTAGAGGTATTTTTAAAATTTTTTGGAAAAGATGAAAGTATCATTGACCAATTTTTTTTTTTATTCTTTACCATAATGTAAAAAATATTAAAATAGTGTTAAAAAATCGATTTGACCAACTCTTTTTTTAAAAGAAAATGAAGAAAACATTAAGTTATATATAATATGGCCCCTTCTTTTTGTCAACTAAGTAGTAAATGACATATTGGTTAGTGGGTCTTATAATACAGGACTTGTTTCAAGTTCGATTCCAGTAATTTTTTTGAATCAACGATAATTTAAAAGAAAAAAATGTAGGGAGCAAGATAAGAATGATAACTTAAAAGGAAAAACATAGGGAGCAAGATAACTTAAAAAGAAAAAACGCAAGGAGCAAGATTCGAACCATGATTCACATACAACTTAACCATCAAAGCTAACCAATAAACCATTCTAATATATGTGATGTAAATTCGACGTAGTATTGTATCAAAAGTTTAAAAATATCGGTTGATTACCAAAACCGCTCAAAACCGGAACAGGCCACTGGCCAGTTCCGTTATAACTGGGCGGTTACCGGTTAGATCGGCGGTTTTGCAAACACTGTGGTAGGCACTTAATTCTACTTCTCTGGAGTGGGAAGGCTTAAGGACCTGTTTTGCTTACAAATTGCAAATAAAGATTACTTGTTTTCCTTGTTTGAAGCCCTCCCTGCCTTTAACTGATTTTTGGCATTCACCTCAGGAAAGGGTAGGCATTATTATGCAAATGCCATTTTTGGGATTGTTGAGTTTGGGCCATCTTATTATTAATATGTATGAACTTGTGTCCTTAATCTCCTATTTGTTTTTCTTGTACCAGGGGAAGGAAGTAAATTTATTTCAGCCAGCAAAGGAATTTATACCTATGATTGAGGAGGTACTTGATTCCTCTCAGCTAATTTTCTCCGTTATGTTTCTCTTGACGTCAACATTTCAATCATTTTGCAAGATTGAAAACTTAAAAATGAAATACAATTGATTGAGAAGCTAGTTAATTGTTTTCTCTGATTCGAGTATAGATTTCTACAAAACCTAGTCCTGTGCTACATATGAAGCAGGAGTGAGATTCTGCCCCTCGGAGGCACGAACATGCACTGAAGCTTAATAGATGAAAGAAGGCCCTAGAACCTTAACTAGGATTGAAGCTTGACATTGAGAATGTATGAAGTAAATGCCAAGAGGCCTCATAGAAGCTTCACTTGTGTTGGAGCTTAACACTAGGGAACATATGAAGTAAGGGTCCTTAAGAAAAAAGCAGTTATCATCTGAAACATAGCCTATGGATTTAACTGCCAAATTGATTGATTCAAAAGACCATTGGCAAACTGTCTTGTTAATTGGCAGTTTGGCAAGCATTTGTATTTGGTGTATCTATTGATTTATATACGTATATGCTTAATATTTAGTTCATTTTTTTATGTGTTGGGATTTGTCTTCGCAGGTTTTTGAGCTGCTCGTGAAGAATACAAAGGGGATTAAAGGTGTGAAGGTTGAGAACCACAAGTTCTGTGCATCTGTGCACTATCGACGTGTAGATGAGGAGGTGAAATTCCTTTACATGACAAACCCCCCTTCTCTCTCTCTCTCTCTCTCTCTCTGTTCAAACACCCGGGTTGTAATGACATGAGAAACAAAATTCATGCAGGATTGGGTTACAGTTGCACAATGTGTGATTAACGTATTAAAAGGTTACCCGCGCTTGCGTATAACCCATGGGCGGAAGGTAAGCAGCAAAAGGGTTTTGTTATGTGTTTTCCTTTTCTTTTTAACCTTCTTGGGAAGGTCTTCCTTTTTGTTATGTGTTTTCCTCTTCTTTTTAACCTTCTTGGGAAGGTCTTCCTTGAACAGTGACTTAATTTTACTTGGCCCATTAGGTTTTAGAAATCCGTCCAAAGATAGACTGGAACAAAGGAAAGGCTGTTGAATTCTTACTTGACTCGCTTGGTGAGTGATATTAACAAATGGCGAAGACTCTTTTACTTATGGTTGCATATAATTGCTTCTTTTGCTTTGATCTTTGATTGATATATGTTTCGAAAACTTAATGTATGGGATGGTCGGTGTTGTTGCATGCAGATCTGACTGATTCAAACAATGTGCTTCCCATATACATAGGAGATGACCGTACTGATGAAGATGCATTCAAGGTATTGTGTCATGATGTCTTTTGTCAGAAACAAGAGAGAGAGTTTACTTTTACATTTGGTTGTGGGAGTCTAATTACCTCTCATTTTGATGAAATAATTTTCAGGTCTTACGAGAAAGTAACCGAGGTTATGGCATGCTGGTGTCAGCCTTGCCCAAGGAGACAAATGCCTTCTACTCTCTGAGAGACCCATCAGAGGTAAGTAGGTGGTAGAACCATGGTTATTTGTGTTTTAGTAACCTGAGATATCATCTTAGTGACCCCCCTCCCTCTCTCTCTCTCTCTCTCTCTCTCTCTC